AGGTAATTTAATAAACAGGGCTTCGTGTAAAGGCAGATTTGCTTGATTTCAAAGCTTTCATTGGCTTCACTTGAAGGAATTCACCCAGATTGACCGAGTTATTATAAGCAACTTCACTAATTTGGTACACCCGAAGGTCAAGGTAGGATATGTTTGATGCAAGCAGATACTGGGAGTAACTGGGTTTCAAGGCATTTTCAGAGATAACATTGTTGAAGAGACTGTGATTTCGTATGAAAGCGCATGATGAAGAGTTTTGTTGGTTGATCTCACCAGAAGACGACGGCTGATTCCCGTTGTCGTCCGTTGAAGACACCTTTGAAAGGAAGTCTGGACGCCTGATCTCCTGAATGAAGGAGTAAATGGAGCATTCCACACGATTTCCAGACCAACCGATGAAGGTAGATGGTAAATTCTCTCAGTTCGGTGTGCCAAAGTGAAGACGAAATTTACTCGCAGGCGAGCGCGCACAACTGGATTTAGCCAAGAACTAGCCCCGGGCAAAATGCAATAGCTAATCAAATGAGGCAATAAGTTATCAAATTACCTTGGCTCTTTCGAAGATTTGTTATGCAATAGAGAGCGAGAGCAACAGAGGAAGAGATTTATATGAGATGACAGAGGGGAAAATGTTATACACGATTAAACGACTAAATTGGGTGACAGGGTCAACAATGGGAAGACGGAAATGAGGAAGAAGACCACTTGATTCGATTCGGTTAATGCCTCATTTCTCATTCCTACCCCCACTTATTTCCAGTATGCTCAACCCCAGTCAGATATTCCGGCAATTCACAGTTCGTCGAAAGCGCATCTAAAGCACTCAGATTCGTGGCCTGACAGCCGATTACCCAAAGCATGCAAGTCTAAGGGCTCCTAAAATAAACCCTTTCAATCCGGTAATGGGGATATAAGATAGACTTCGTAATAATGTTAAACCTCTGTACGATAATCCGGCAATCCATATTAGACCTTTGTTAGTTGGTATTGCAGTGCAAGATAGGGTTACGCTAGCAGAATTAATATAAACAATTAAAATTTTAACATTATTCATTATTAACTTTATTATTAGTAGTAGTAGTAATAATGGTATTATTACAATTACTTTTGAACTAACCACGCCCTCTGAGCCGAAATGAGCTAAATGCCCAATAAACAACCTTGGCTGGATTCAAGCCCAAAACTTGTTGGTTTGGTGGCAAGGACGTCATCAATGGGCAAGCAAGCCCAATCCACAAGCGTCTGGTTCGAATCCCGCTGGGATGATGAGACCGAAGCGAGGAGACCGAAAACTGTGATCACTGAAGATGGTAGCCTAAAAAGAAGTTTATCTTACACTACGACATCGTTTTTGCAAAGTGATCGAAGCAACAGGAAGACCTTAATCAACAATATACATTATAATTTCCAGCATCTGACCGTGGGCTTGGTATATTTTATAAGGTACCGAATTGTGAAAATAAAAATCAAACAAACACAAATTAAATGAAGGACACTGCTACCGAACCTAAAGCCACATCTTTTTTTGCTTTATATCTGCGTTTATGATCCTGAGTTCAGTATGAACAAGGTTGTACTATTATATGTGATGAAATTCAGTGTTTATCAAAAACCTTAACAGATAATCCTCTACAGCTCTTTTATTTAAATTGCGTCAATACACTAAGCATCACCTTCATATAAAGTAGGTTTAGAAACGTTCACTAAAGATTTCTATTTACTCTAGGTCGCATAGGGTGATTGCGTATTGATAGTTGCATTTTCCCACAATAATGTTTTGACCTCACGTTTCCATTGAATTTTTTCCAGCATCGCTTACTAGTAGTTAGTCTCTGCCTTGCTGTAATGGAATGTAGTTTCAATTTACTTTTGGTCTTGATAACAGCCACAAATGAAAATTAAGCATTCGCGTCAGTTGCTAATAGAGGCTTTTTATGAGGAAAAAGCAAAAATCATACAAGTGGCCTATGGGGAAGCAACATGAATACAATGTAATAGTATTTTTTTTAACGACTCAAGTGATTCGGAAGAACCAAGAGGGTTAGGCCTAACAAAACATAGCCTAGAATAGGAACTCGGGTCTTTTGATACCAAACATAGCTTAGAATGAGGCCATAAGTAATATTTTTTATGCATGCCCAATGTTTTTATTCGAAGATATAAAGATTAAACTGATGTCGCTTTTTCTTTGACCGCAGTCTGTTTTTCGAATATAATTTTGGCTTGTGGGTAGTTGGGACCGTATCAAGTCAACAGTCCGAAGCTGGAAATTAGCATGAATACTATGGTAGAGAATGCAAGAATATATATGCTAGATCGAGATCAAAACATATTATTATGGGAAATTTCAACTATCAGTCCCCGTAACAATAGTCGTTTCTTTTCTTGGTTCCAATCATAGTCACTTATCTGTACTTTTAGCTCACTCTTTCTCTCTCGCATTGAGACCCAAAACGGAAAAAGACTCATAAACAAAACCAGACGAGTGTCCGACCTTGCGCAATCGGAGTGATGGATATCACATGTATGTAGAAAGGGGGGCCATCAAACCTTGACGGCCGAAAACAGACGTTTCTTTTTGCTGTCCTAATTACTTTGAGCCATCACTGCCGGTTTCGTGCATAAGCGAACACAAACAGGCACATAAAAATACAGAGTCAGACACACTCACAGGCTTCAAAGTTGACATATGATCGTAAATAACCAAATTAGTTAATACTTGATTAAAGAGGCCAGATGTAGAGTATATATACCTCTTTTTAGGAATTTGCCGGTGAGTTTTCTTGCCTCGTGAGCTTGAATTTTGTTTTGACGATGATACCTTGCTCTGATGATGTTCGTCATGACGGACGAAAGCTTAGCACCTTTTTACCGGAATCTGAGGAGATTACCTTGGAAACAGCGTCAGCATGAATGTACCAGTAAAGCCGATCGACAGCTGGTCAAGAGGAATCCGCCGTCGTCTTCTGGTGGAATCAATCTTCGAATCTCTTCACCCAACACTCAATCGAAAAGGAAGTAAGCTGAACAATAATAACGTAATCAGTCAATGTTATTAAAAGCAATTTAGGAACTAATAATGGAATATTTCCCAAAATAAGATTATTTGGTCTCACAATTTCGTTGAAGCTGGCTTAAACTTACCTCATAAAAGTGTATCCCATCTAGGGTGGACTGTAATTATCTCCTTAAATTACCTATAGTGAACTATGTTGAATATATTCTGCTCAAAGCACTACTGATCGTCGTCTACTTATATGAAAATTCACTACTTACTAGGCCGTTTTACCTCAACGATAGGCATCTATTCATTAGCTTCTTGTCTTTAAGCCAGTTTTGAGTATGCTTTTCAACAAGAATTGTCGAACCATAACATATCCGAGTTTCTGAGGGGCTGTAATTTTGATTAATAGCGAACGCCTGCATGAATGTTAAACAATGTTAATCCCAGGTGAAAAACTAAAGCGAAAATTTTATATATTTTAGTCTCCTGAATAACCAGTTCCCTCAAGAAGGTTGTATGCATCATTCATTTTTTTGAATACTTTCATTTGTTCAGTCTCGCATAAAATAAACATCTGCGTGGACTGTTTTTTATGAAGAAAGCAATACTGTTTAGAAACACCCTTCGGGGCTCCTTTCCAGTGCAATAGAGCTCTTCAATTTCTTGATCGAATCACTGTATAATTTTTGCGGGTCTGGCTTTGGTTTGCTTTATTTGAATGTTAAATCCATAAATTCTGATTGAATATTTCATTTTCATAATGCTCCTAATTGTTAAATCTTTGCCTTGCTGACTCCTCGTCTAGAAGCCATTTTGGTATGTGCTCTCTAGAAAGGCTTGAATGATGTTGATCATTACTTATAATCCCAAGAACTTAAAAACGTTGTTGTAAAGATATCCTTTTCGTATGAAATCTCGTGATGAAAAGATTTTTGGGTTGATCTCGCTTTCGTTTCGTGTGAAAATAGACTGAGCTTTCCTCTGTCATATGCTTGACATCGTCAGAAATAATACTGCTTCGAAATCGCTTCGAGTTGGCACAAAGACAAGAAAACTAATCTTTTTTATCCTCAATGCAATATATCCTTACAAATTAAAATAAAAAAATATAAATATACACAGATAAATATAGGAGTAGTATATATAAAATTATCCCTCTGACATGTGTAAATAGGACTTTACTTTTTCGTCGTTATTTGGAAGTGAGTTTTTGAGACTGCCAGTAGATCTACCAGTGAGAAATATTTACCCCGTTTAGTTTAAGATGATAAGGCGAATGGTAGTTGAATTTTCCCACAATCATATGAATGGACCTTACGTTTCCAGTGAATTTAACATAGCTTTGTCTTCCGAAAAGATATTATCATCCAGGGTGAACCACAGCTTCAACCTCGCTCGAACTGGTCTCGTCACCAATGCCAGCTGGACTCGAACCATGAGACTGCAACCTTTAATCTCTACACGTCAATCACTACGTCACATTGCCACTACTGCTCTTGGATCACAGAGCAGATGTGAATTTCAGGGAAGGCCAGGCATTTTCCCATATCACATATGGGGAGGGGGATTGTCGAGGAACAAAGTTGTATTAGATATAGCAATAAGTAATGTTATTTATTTTCCGTGTTTTTATCGCCTTAAACGAAATATGGTGAATACATCTCATACATATGATCTACTGGAAGACTCGAAAACCTACTTCTAAAAAACTAAAAATAAGAAATGTAGTGGAAAAATTCATCTTGAATGTTCGTTTGTTGAGATGGCCCTTCTGACGACAAAGTTTCGAAGCCCGGATCAGCTGATTAACTCATTTCCATGTCACGAAGGCGTTTAATAAACTACTTGTTTACTTATACATGAGCTTCTCGGACGAGCTAAGCTCATTTTTTCTGCAAATTGTCTCCTACCTTGGGGATACTTCTATCATTTTTTGGAGGAGGGCTCTTTGCCTTTAACTGTGCTTACCTCTTGCCTGGCTTGAAAGGAGGAGGCCTAACTCCAAACTTAATACCGTCTTCTCGAACTCTGTCTATTTTTCTCTAGATTTACTCATTTCCTGGGGCATTGTTCTGCAAAGATAGAATGTCGACCTGAAAATTCTTGAAAGTTAGGCTCAGACTTGCCGGGCTCAAGGGACAAAGCATCAAATTGGGTGGACAAGTTATCCCCTTTCCAACGGGAAAGGATAAATTTGTAAGAAGTCCAGGCCTTAGTAGTAGTTGCTGGCCTTCTTTTGGGCTTCAAGAAATCCTTTTAAATGCTTTGGAGGTCACTTGACTTGGCTCTGTGGGAATATACACTCACTTTTGGCCCCTAGTCTCGTAATCTTTCCCGCATTTCAGGCAATCTACAACATTAGAGATGTGTTATTTCCTCCTGGCCTTGTCACCCTTTAAAACCTTTCGCTATAATGTTGTACATAAAAGCATTCGTTCAGAGACAATAGTTCCATGTTAAAAGACCTGGCAGGCCATTCATTATTGGCGATTTGGTACTTTTGCATTCAGGAACTCTAAAGATTTGTCGCTTTGCACCACCAGCGACCTCAGTTAAGCCGTCGACTATTCAATTTCCTTTGCCCAATTTGTGTCTCACAATCACTCCAGGAAGAAGTGATATGTAAGCCATAATGTATTACTGACGATAAAATAGCCTGAACGAGTAGATGGGATTGACCATAATTTATCAAAGCTTGGACGAAATGTTTAAAATTGATGCAAAATACAACTCAAAACCAGTTTCCGGTACCAGCCATATTAATAGTATCGTTTAAGTGGAAAACCTTACTTGAAGGGACTGGTGAATGTTTTTTGGTATTTGACGACGTAAAAGTTCCAAATGCATCATTCAGAA